ATTTCGCACCACCCCACAACATGAATGCATTTCAACTATCCGTACCTGTAAAAGGTTCTTCTTTCAACTGTTTACAAAAATCATCAGCCTGGGCTCTCCTTTGAGCATACACGTCACACGGGTGGGTCAACGACATCGGCGTGTCAGCTGTACAACTACCTTTCAGTGACCATTTGTTTCCAAACGCTGTAGGAAGCTTCTCAACATCCCTCTCCAGGGTCCAGAAATCATTCTATTAAGAAATCAACAAGTGGTAGCCAGGCCACATGGAACTACTTTTGCTGAAAAGACTTTTTGGGTGTTTTGTATGGAATTTATTTTCACTGATTTTTGACGACTTGAATGTAAAATATAGGAAAAAAATGTATATTCATGGGATTTTATTTTCACTGAATCATTCTTTCATTTATGTATTCGTCCTATTAGATTAAAATTACTGTAAAACACTTTATTTTCGCTTGGAATTAATTTTCGCTATTTTCACTGAAGGAATGATTCAGCGAATCCACACTAATAATATTCATTATATTATGTTGAATAATAAGCACTGAAATGTAGAACATCATACAACACCCTAATAATTATGCTATAATGAGTGAATATTTTACCTGTTGGTTACCGTCAAAGGTACCACACAAACCGCAAGTATTGTTGAAGAAGGAATTTGGTGCTGTCACATATAATCGGCTGTCACCATTCCAGAAAACGTTCAGTCCATTATCCAAAGTAACCTACAGAATGACAGAAACAGTTATATGCAAATGAGATATGATAACTACCATACACTGTTTGTATATTCAAATCAATATTTGCTATGAAAGCTAAAATATTTTTTTTTTAATTCGTCATGTTGTAGGAATAATTAGTTAGAATTAAATGAACAAAATTGATGAGATTGGGGTGTCAGTTTTAAAAATAATTAACATAACATATGACATACTAGACTAACCGTTAATTGTAAGGTGTTTTACTATGCAAGTTAATTTGACAACAGCGCCCTCTATGTTAGTTAGTAACTATGCTATTTTTAGATTATGCAAATAAAGCTGATCTGTACATGGCTGCCATTTTTGGATTGTTGCTATGTTGTCTGCTGGTCAATTCTTTTTAAATACACAGCACGTATTATGTTTTATACAATTTGAGACTTTGAGTGCCAATGTCAACTTTTGTCACAATTCCCAAAATTAAACTGACAAAATTTGTTTTTGCAGTAATTTGGAAGCAAATACATGCAAATTTTTGTGCATCAGAACTCTATTCTATAGCATTTGAAATTCAATTATTAAATCAAATAGAAAGACAAAAATATTGTTAACATTTGGTCGTGTTGGAAAATCATTAACATGAATCACCTGCACATGCGTCAGATGGCCATAGCGTGTTATTGTTTGCAAATAAGCATCTACCCATGAGCCTTTGCGTTTTTAGCGTGTACTGTTTCATCGCTTGGGACTCAATTCCCATGTGTGCGCAGGTGACGACACCCTCGCCTAAAAATACATATTTCACACAATTCAGATAACT